CATCCTCGTAAACAAACAAACGTAAACATATGAGAACGACGATAATAACCATTAAATGTGCACAGTTTAACAAATAACAGATTTAGTTTAGTTCAGATGCAAATCGTTTTTTTTTAATAATTGATCAGAAACACAGATCTTTTCAGGTAGAAATTAATGGCGATTGCATACGACCTCTTAAAATATTATATACTTATATTATATTTGTATAATAAATTATAATGTTTTTCATGCATGTTTAATGCACATCATAGTAGCGATGACCTTTTTTTAATTATTAAAAGTGGTTTTTACCGTTACCGTCGACATCTCCTGTAGGCGGGACTTCGGCGCGAGAGCTTTTATACTTGTTCCATTCTGTCAGCAGCAGACCAGTTAATCCCAGCAAAGTAAACATTGTTTCGAGCGATGAAAAGCAAAGCAAACACAAGATGTGAACTCGAGAAAACACGTCTCTCCCAAATGCAAAAGATCTGTAAGCGACGCTTTAAAACAAAACCGCGTTCTTAACGGCTTACTAACTAGATTCTTAAAATGACGTGAGCATTACATCATTGGATCGTTTTGCTGCGGGCGGGGTCTCGGCGCGGCAGCTAATTGGAATAAACAAATACGAGAAATAGTGCGCTATAAATATTTTGATAGATTTTTTTTTTATTATTATTTTTCATGTGAACTTTACCGTTGTAAAAGTGGCGTTACAAGCTTTCAACAGAAATTAATGAAGGAACGCTAATAAAACAAGAAACATATATTTTTCCTGACACAAGAATACAATAAAGTGCTGTGTGGCGATCTATAAACCAGTTTTGTATATATTTTTTGAAAATTAAAAACATGCAAATCAAGTTAATTAAACGAAATTGATACGCCACCGTGATTCGAACCCTGGTCTCCCGTGTGAAGGGCGGCAGTGTTACCACTGTACTATCCAACATGTTGCGTTACCGCTAATGTGTTACCAAAATAGCGAATATAAATAAAGTTGTGTAATTGTATAGTTCGAACATGTATTTTATTGTCGTTTAAAAATGGTCATACAAATATGTATATCGGTAATATATGTATACTACTAGAAGAGTATAGAGTGTAGTATAGGATAGTGTAGTGGTAACACTGCCGTCCTTCTCATGGTAGACCGGGGTTCGAATCCCGGAGGATCCGTGATACTACACTAAGGCTGCGGCTTGGAGGAGTCCTGACGCCAGGACAGAGGGGATGCACATCCTCCCCTCTCATCAGGACCAGCGCCGAAGAGGACCGGAGAGTGGTAAGTGGTAAGTTTAGCTTAGTAGTAGTAGCAGCTTAGTGGGGTATCATGTGAGAGGCTGGGATTTCCGATCCTGGTTGAGCATGAGAATGACGGCATGAGAAGGCTTGGGTGGGATGAGAAAGATAGCGTGGGAGGGTGAGTACAATGAGTTAATCACATAAGTTAAAAAAATAAATAACTAAATAAAAAAAGTATATAAATAATGTATTTAAAAAAAACAGTATATAAATAATTTATTTTTTTAACTTTTATTTTTAATTTACTTTTTATTTTTTGTTTACTTTCTTAACTTTCTTTCTAATATTTCTTTCAACCTTCTTTTTAACCATTCAACTTTATATATATATATAT